CACGTGACATTTAGTATTTCTCGTTATTCCGTTGTTATGTAGCGGAGGTTATTGCGAGTTGAGTGACATCGAGATGAGAGATTTGAAACCAAACCAACATTTCAGTCTAGACCAACAATTTTTGTTGTACACATGGGATTTTAGCGAAGTCCATTGTTTCAGCTCACCCGTATCAAAATACTCTCCGACCAATGGCTGTGAGAAACAAACATCCTTCCGTATCTTTAAGCTTTTAAATACGATTTCTTTTTAATTTCATAAATAGTTTCTGGTGGATTGGAGTGGACATGGATGAGATTCACTGTTAACGGACAACCATGCAGGCCGGGTTCGTATTGTACCGAAAACGTCAACATGGGCATATGGTCTTGCCCAGTTGATCAAGGCGATTGGGATTATTGTTGTCGTCCTGACCATAAATGCGGTTATTCCGAAGGAGTCAGTTATCCATGGTAAGTCATCTGATTGGAGAAAATAATATTTAAGAATAATATAAAAATAATTACAAAAAGAGTAATATTTGGTTTGGGGCTGTGGTCGATTTTAACATACTTTTGCTCTCATAGGTGTCACGTGGGAAAATCCACAGATCAGTGGCGACCGTGTAGCGATAAGTATTTCCCTTCAACAGACGGGCCACCACAAACTTGGCCGATGACGTACATCCATCACACGGGTCCACCGGTTGCCCAGAACCCTTCTAGCCCTCTGCCTCCCCAAGGTGACAACAACAACAGCAACAACCACAACGGAAACAACAATAGCACGCAGACTGAAGTAAAACACGAACAGTCTCTGGTTGATCAATTTCTGTCAATATTCACTTCTTCATCGACGGACGTCAGTAACATTGTGGTCTCGTCACCTGAACCCGTCGCTGAGGCCTCCACTGCCTCATCAAAGACCGCCAAACACGATCTCGACCTGCTGCCCGGTTTCCGAGTGGTAGACGTCACCGACAAGCCCCAGTCGACTAGCAGACTGTACTCTTATCACGGCACCAACTACAACAGCAATCGTCTCCGGAACAGATTTGCACGGAAAAGACCAGTCGTCTACGTTTAACGCCCGCTTCACGATGGTGGATATTAGTGACCGCCTGTGGTTATCGAGTCTCATGAAACAGTCATCAAGTCACGTCGAATTGTATAAAATGTATATCTAGTATTAACTCATTAAATATAATACTTTCTGAGAAACGGATTAGGCATATGGGTAGCCGATTTTGCTTCACGATAATGGATGATAGTAATTATTGAGCAGTACTATTTCATTTTGTACGTAGCTCGTAGGCGTAACAACATAGGAACTGATGCTTAATGAGTTCTAGAGCTTGGGCATCAATTCCAAAATAACAATTATGTCAGGTAATAATCTAATAGATTTTTTTTGAAATTTAATGTCTTTTAGTTTAATGTTAATTAATTTATCAACAATTGATTTTTGAATCTCAGCCTATGTTTTTATATCCTCGGCTGAAGTATAGAACTTAAAAAAAAATTTTAATATGTAAATAGTAGGTACGTCGATGGTTGTGATTCCCTCAGTCCATACAACTTCATATATATATTTATGTAAAGTTAAAGTATGAAATCCGTTATTTTTTACGCTTTAGTCAAACTATTAATATTAGAAACTAGTTATTCTATACAAACCCCGATTGATAATAGTTAAAAAATATTGCTTATATTCAGGAATAAATAATAATAATATATTTAATATGTACTTGAAATATTTTTGAAACATATAAAATACTCGAAAAATTTATTTTCAAAATGGAAATCTGGACAGAAAATAAAAAAACTCGGCGATTTCAGTGAAAATATTAACAATAAAAAAAATATAGTTACAGGGTAGAAAATTATTTATTATCTACCTATTATACATAAATCGATTTAATCATCATACCTTTGAATTTTTATCAACAACGAAATCAATTCAAACTATTCTCAAGTCACAAAAATCTAATTTAATTTTAACGACTTTCAATGTATTCAACATAATTGAACAATCACAGGTAGTGTATAAAATATTTCATTAAATTATAAATTATATGGTTTATTATCTAAAATTATTTAGTGTTTAAAGTACCTAATTACAATTATAAAACACACAATAACTATTATTATAGTACAATTTCATACTTTAACGCTACTATACAAATCTGTGTTTAAACTATAATTATGTCAGGCACCAATTTTAACTCTCGTTTGTACATATTAAGAACGAAGGTATTCAAATGTTTCCTAGTATCGATTTTTTTAGGTCAAAAATATTATTAAAAATATTTAAAGGATTCAGTCATGACTCATGCGAATTGAACAGCAAGTGTACTTGTTAACAGTTTAATCCGATAAATGTATAAAAAATCAAAAGACTATAACTGAGCAAAAACTCTGATCATTACAACTATACCTTTTTCATATATTTTTTTTACTTATAGAACCTTTTTATTACGAGTCATTCATATCTAGTTTAAAAATTGTCGAACTTTAATATTTCTACTTAATTATTTTGTAATTTTGATACGATCCCAAGCTGCTTTATGTTTTGCATTTTCTGTAGCTGTGGACTCTTGATTCTTACTTTACCTAAGTCTTAAAATAAGAGCTAAAGTTGAATACAAAAATGTAAGCAAACTAGTATACAAAAAAATCAAACTAAATGGTACAAAGTGTTTCCATGTATAGTATTATGTTCTTAACATTTGATATGTTATGTTAAGGCGCCATGACACTCGTATAGTTATAAATGATAAACATTTTATACTATGGTTTTCTCTATATGTATACCTGGCCACATATAATTTTTCCTATATTGCCATATTGTATCTTAATATATTATAATATGTTTAATATGGAAACACATTTTGCACGCTTTTCATATTATACACGAATAATCATCAGGTGAATAGTTTAAATTGAGTTGTGCAACAGCACTTCAGTATTTTCATATTTATTTCGACACTAAAGTTTTGATACATTTTATAAACACCTTGCATATATTCAAATGTAAATCACATCATGCACATAATGATGTAGGCATACCATAGCTAGACAGCAAATTTCATTTTCAGACGTCCAAAAATAACTTCCTTGGCAAATGCATTAGTTCGATAAAATTATTTTTTCAAAAAACAATGTTTAATTTAAAATAATTATGATTAAGTAAAGGTTACTTATTATATATCATACAATTTGAAAATAAGTAGGTTTGTATTCACAGATACTTAAAAATAACATAGTTCTATATTTTTAAAATTAAAATCTCTTTATGTTGTTACCTTCTAGCTCTTTTACAAATATATTTGTTCCTATATCTTACAAACGTCTACCACACAACTAGAAATATGTTACGTATTGACCAACATTGGAATTAAGTTTTCAGTAATATGTAAACACAATTCATACAGTAAAAAATATGTATAAAATATACATACAAACGTTGTATACAATACATACAATTACCAAATAAATAGACAATGCAATTAAGACATTTAGTAGAATACAAAACTAAATTCAAGAAAACATTTAAACGCGAAGGATTGACTAATTAATTTTAAAGTTATTTCATTTTGAATACTGTTTGACTATCATGATGTACTTTTGTGAGTTCAAAAGAGTGATACAATTTTGAAATATTTATATTAGATCAATCTACTTATGAACTTTTATAATGTGTATATTGTATATAATATCTACCATAGATAAAAAAAATATAATATTATAATATATGACCTTTATAACCTTAAATATTTTGTTGTTTAATTTAATTTGAATAAGAAGTACACTTATATAAACCATTAACCTACACGAAATCATATCAATAAAGTAAATTATTTAAAATTAATGATATGTCAATTTACTGTAATATTAAAACTGTAAATTATTATTAATATGTTATAGCCACAATGTATAGGAAGATGTTCTGTTTATCTTCTCTACATCGTGGTGGTTATAAAGATTATTATGAGTTATGAATTTTATATATGGTACTTGTCGCCAAAAACAAATAACAAATCTATGTCGCGATGTTGAATAAAAATAGTTACCTATTAAATATTAAATCATAACATTTTTATTCCTTCATATTTTCCCGAAAGCACCAAGTTATGCTTATGAATATCATCAGACTTGTAAAGTATATTAGTATTACAAAATAGAGTATTTACCATTTGGGTACCATACTACTTATAGTAATTAAATAATTTAAAATAATGTGTTTTATCAATAATAATGTTTCAGAATTTTATACAATTAAGATTCTTGTACCTACCTCTTGAAATGATGAAATCTAAACCATAAAACTGGGAACTTAGTAGGGAACTTGTTGTACTACCTACAATGATCAATTACGATACTTATAAGTGATAATTAAAATAATTAAGTGTAAATCGTAATATAATAAAGTTTTAAATATAATAGAAGTATCATAGTTGTTCTAAGTCGAAAATGTTTAAGTTTTTGTAAAATTAATTAACTTGCTGTTTTGTTGTTGAACACATATTTTAGCAATGCATTTTGATTAAACATTTTATGAATGTTACCATTCTTAGTGTCTTACAAATTATTTTATAAATCTATAAGACATAGGTAGGTACATTAACGATGGTATTATAAAACAAAATCGTCTTATTTTAAATACAATTTAACACAAACTTTGGACATATAGGTATAAACAAATCATTAACAAATTATATCATAAGCTATTATAACTATAAGGTTATATGATTAAATGTATGTATTATTTTCGCTTTGCCTACTTTAAGTTGAAATTGCACAATGAAAAACTTCTATCGATTACTATTGACTGAAAACTTAGAAAGTTAGAACTCAACATCAGATCTAGGAATATATATTAATATTAATATGATTATATAATCGGGGATATTTCAACCCAAGTTTTATTTTGTATAAAAGGTTACGAATATATTTGAACGAGTATAAATTATTATTGACGTATCATAATATTATGTTACAAGCATCTTTATGTGGCACATTTTACTTTGCCTTCGATCTCTTGTTAGTTTTGCTTGAACGCAAACGGCCGCTCCATATCGACCGCGCAGGTGCACTTTGGGTCTTCTTCCTGCCTTTGCGGCTTCTGTTTGACTTCTGGCCACGGGTGGCCTTTTCATCACGGCGACCACGGGCGAGTGCCGCCTTCCTCACCTTGCGTCCGCCGCGAGCCGCCTTCTGGCCACCACGACTGGTACTGGCCGCCAGCTCGGCAAGGATCTCGTCTTCGGCGATATGCACGGAGAAGTCGCTGTCATCGCTTCTGCTTCTGCTACGACGGCTGCGGCTACGACGGCTGCGGCTACGACGGCTGCGGCTGCGTCGGCTGCGACTGCGTCGGCTAAGGCTGCGACGGCTAAGGCTGCGACGGCTAAGGCTGCGACGGCTGCGGCTGCGTCGGCTAAGGCTGCGTCGGCTACGGCTGCGACGGATGCGCTTATCCATGTTTTCGGATTCAACGTCAGCCACTGTCGTGGGCAGATTGTCATCCCCTCCCGAATCCAGCCGAACATCGGTAACTGTGGTAACAGCCGTTTCCACCGACGGCACTGCCAACACCTCGACCAGCTCCTGTTGTGGTACTGCATCAACACCGTCAACATTACTGTCACTTTCGCCCTCCATTTTAAGAAAAACAACCGTAAAGACGATAATTGTTATACAAATGTATGTAATTATGAAACCGTCAATGAGCAAAAATTGAGTGAAAAGTTTGTTTGCAATAATGTAAGTGACATCGAACCAAGCCAGGTTACCAAGACGATTAGGAATTATGTGTTTATGTTTCGATTGAGGCCAAATGCACAATAACAGCTGAAATTTTTTTTCAGAACTTATATTGTAATATAGAAATAGCTGTAGAACATGCATTTGTCACAAATTACAACAAGGCAATTCATAACAGGAACACAGTTTTTGGATATTGCTAATAACTATTAATTCTTTTTTTTCAATTCAATCTCTGCATCATAATAATAGTAGGTATACCTATTAAAATATAAAACGCCATACATTTTTTTGTGTTTTTTAAATGTTTAATTAAAAAAAATTCTTATATTATGTATTAAAAAAAGTCGTTGATCGACGTAATAAATTATTATAATATAAAATGTACGTGCGCTATTATGCGTATATAATAACATTATCTCTAGTATATATAGTATATAACACGTCATATTAATAGTAATATATAGTTATGTTGTATCCAAATGATAAAATAGTACAAAAATAATAATAATAATAATAATAATAATAATAATTATAATTATAATAATATAAGAAAAATAAGAATAAAAACAGCAATGTACATAAATCTTATAAATATAAAAAATATAGTAGAAAGGAAAGATACAAATATATATATATAGTATAACGTTACAGAAATGAAAATATAATGTACATTTGCATAAGAAAAAATTATATATATAATATATAAATATGTATAAATAAATAAACAAATAAATAATAATTTACAGTGATAAATTATGGCGAAAATTATATTCTGATTACTATGATAATGTTTTATTTGAACGGGTATAATGTTTACATACTCGTCTTTGATACGATTATCACGTCATGCACTAGTGGGAAATCATCGAAAATAATCGAAACGATGAGAATAATAGTACAAATCGTCGGAGGGGTAAAATAGAGACATTTGTCAGTTGTTATGATATTGCAACCTCGTATATTTAAGATACAAACAAACTATTACTATCAGCAAAGCGTCTGTATTTTTCATTTTCATTCTGTTTCCACATACCCTCCCATCAGGTTAGTTTTCCTCAGCTGGTTCCTTGTGGTCGAAGGGCGACGACATTTTTCACGAAAGTCCCTCTATCTATATACACACGCTGCACACTTCACTGCATCATAGGCCTTATGTGGTCACCGGAGGAGTCTCTACACCTATACTCCCACACACACATACATACACACATACACATGCACATACACATACACATACACATACACATACACATGCACATACACATACACATACACATACACATACACATACACATACACATACATATATACATACATACATACAAATTATAGATTCAGCATTGAGTTGTGACATTAAACTTAAATTACTCGTTATCTACTAGATTTAAAGAAAATATTGTTTTTTGTATAACAGAACAGAATCTACTTTAGTAACAATTTGAAACGAGGAATATGCTCGATTTATTGTAATGAAATCAATTTTTAAAAGTAGTTCTGAGTAATGCGTATTGATAGTACTGTTGATATACCGTTTGAAAACACACAAAATAAATATTACATTTTAAATATTATTAGCATATTATATGAGAAAAGGCAGAAAATGATTAAGAAAACTATAATATTTTTAAAATATTATAAAAACATTATCATTTTCAATTACAGTCGGTAAACATGGTATTCAAGTTCATTAATTGCTCTGTTTTTATTTGTTTTTAAAAAATTATTTTAAGTGATACGAATTTTGAATATACATTTTAAAAATAAAAATAAATAAATGTTAATTATAATGTTGAAAATATCTTTGTTTTTAAGTTTAAATGTTTTATTAATGTTAAACTAAGAAACAAATTGAAGCGTGTAGTTATAAATTGTTTAACTCGTTTTGTAAAGTATTCCTTTTCATTGTTAAAGTGTCTAGCCTAATAATTTCATTGAGTAAATATAGTTGCCTATCAGTATTTAGTAATAATTAATTTTGTAGTAACTTTTTTCCTAGTGTACACTTGTACAGAGTAACCTGATCCTAGCCTATGTTTAGAAGGTAACTTGGTCAACATTGAATGTATAATGTGTGCACGCACGGTGGGCGAGATATAAATCTCCATATTAATTGATCACCAATATTATTATTATAAGATTATAATACGATGTGTGATGATACGTGGTGATGTGCTGACTGCTGACATATGGGGAGGGGTCCGGGATATATATTTTATTCTACATAATATTATATTCTACCGTATAACGGTACGACCACAAAATCATAACAACAACAACATCAACAACAACAACAACAACAACAACAACAAACAACAATAACGATAATAGTGTTGACGATTCGTCGGCGATGTGTCTACTGTACGCCCGTGATTGTCTGCAGCCACGGTTTGTAGTACGTGGTCCTCATGTAGACTCCCGGCAGATACGGCGCGGCACATTTGATGCCATGTGACACTGTGCCTATCAGTGTCCATCGGCCGTTGTCCTTTTCGATCATCAGAGGCCCGCCACTGTCGCCCTGTGACGAGAAAAAACGCAAAAACACACAAAAATTAGCTCCAAGATCGATCAGAATAACAACGATTATGTATCATGGTTATGGGATTGAGTCCGTCCTATACATTATAATATAGCTTCGTCTGTATTATTATGATGAGGGATATTAATTCTCGTTCATGTAATCATGTGCAAATAAGTAGACGGTTGTTAAGTGTTTGAGTAAATATCTAGTAAAAGCATTCAAATATCTATATAATTATAGCGTCAAGTACCTAATTAAATAGTATTATTATTTATTTTGTGCAACGATTAGAGTGATTTCGAAGTTCATTTGAATATAAAATGATAGTGTTACAATGTGTCTTCATCAAAACGTTAAAACGAAAAAAATGTAATTCCGAAAGAATCATTCATTATAATATATTGTAAATGCTTGTATACAGATGACAGATGAACATTTTAAACAAATACTGTCACTTAAATGGAACAATGAATTGTTAAAAAATAATAGTATGAAATAATATTATACTATAGGTCGGTACCTAATGGGCCAATAATACAATTTTTAAATTGAAATATTTTTACAATTGAAAAGTATTTGAGTAATATTTAAATATAAATTTTCAAAGTACACTTTACAACCATTGTTTGTAACATATGTTGGAAGCGATTCTAAGTCTATTGTTTCTTGGGTAAAAGTAAAACACATATTATGTACATTTATAATCATACAGTCGCATTTTATATACAATTTGAATGACATTATGACATTTTTCCATTTCCGATATTACACAAAGAATTGATAATTACTTTCAAAGTAACAATTTGAAAATTCAAGTGAAGGTACCAGGTACCTACTAAATTTTTTCAGTATTTTAGATTCCAAGTCTACTTTAAGATTATAAAGATTTGAACTGAACATACCTCGCAAGAATCCCTCTGTCCGTTGGCGTAACCGGCGCACAAGAAGCTGCTAAGTATAGACTTCGTATGTCCTGCTGTCTCGAACATGTCCTGGCACACTTGGTTTTCAATTATAGGAACTTGCACTTCTTGCAGGATGCTTGGAACTCCACCTCCTGTTTGAAAATAAACATAGTATTACACTGTGACAATACTGCGGTCATAAATATATTCACAGACTTAGATCTTAACTTTCATGGTATTCTAGCTTAACTATAATTGTATATAATATTTTACTCATAAGTCATGAGTCATGACTCATGACCTAACTTATATCTGCTGACTATCGGTTTTTAAAACTAAAATTCAATAAGACGTTAAATAATATTTTTATTTTTAAAGTACATTTTTCTAACTTTTTTATTGTCATTGAAATGTGTAATTTGAACTGCTGAATTCACGCCAGATGAGCAATTGTTTATGAAAATGCACAAATTTGAAAGTTGTTCAACAATGACCAACACACAGATGAAACATGTTACCTAGGTATCTAAGCCTAAAAATATGTCATTAGCTGTTGGCTGTTGCTAACAGTTGCTCTAGCAATTTAAACTTTGCAGTGCAAAAATTAAAATTGATGAAAACGAAGTCGAACAAATTTTGAAATTTTTCAAATTATGTCAAATAATTTACCAACAAATTTGATGGATTGTTAGAATGAAGTATTGTATTTTTTTTAAAGTTCACTTTAAGTTTATTATTATGGACAGACGAATCGGTATTTACTTGCTAAAAATAGTGACTCATGCTCCTCGCTGATTACTTAGTCCAGTATGTAGATACCTAGTAACTTTCTCTAGTTATTTATGTTAAAATAATATAATGATTAAAAATACCAGATTTATACTTACTTAGAAGCTTACAATGATAGCATAGGTCTACAAGTAGCATATTCAAAATTTAAAAAAATCCCTGGTCATATTCTCCCCCCCCCTCCTTTCTCTTTCCATATTTGTTCTAATGCACAGCTAATGTACAGAGCTATATCTATAAGGTAGGAAAGTATGGAAATATTATACAATTTCCACTTAATTTTAAATCGATGAAAAATGCTTTTAGGTTTTCATATTTTAAGAACGAGCAATTTACGAAGGATTGTAGAACATGTTTTATTATGTTATGCAAATGTATATGATTATTAGTCGTGGTGAATCCGATAGTCTGCGCAGTGCGGTATCGATTGACGGGAGCGTAGATTATCGAAATAATTTGAAAATTGGTTTTGCAATCGAATCAAACCTTTTCCGTCGAATATATACATTATATTATACCTAGTAGCTACCTATATAATTAGTTAATAATATGCGATTCGTTCTCGGACGTCAAAATCGATTGATTTTTGACAGAAAGATCGGTTATTTTATTTGCTGAAAGTCGAGGCACAACCATACGCGTTAAACGTTTAGATAAAACTGTAACGTGAAAATGATCTCAATAGGTATGAATAAAAATTTAATAGCATTTGATTATACCTATTGCCTACTGTATAATTGATTAATTTAGATATAGATAATAATTCCAGTATTCCATAACTCACTAGCCAAAGGTCCAATATTATAGTATGTTTTAGTACCTATTTATAAATATTAGATAATTTTTTTTTCGTTTTTAAATTATTGTTGATTAAATAATTTTATTGCGGTTTGAGCATTGTATTATGTATGCATAATATATATGTTTTTTTCCTACCACTCTACAAAATTATACCGAACCCATCAATAAACACTTCTAAAAGCTATAGCCTCAACTGCAGCTCAATACTATAACACTTCACAAAAATATAGGATATGACTATATGAGAGTGACAATAACTTAAAAAATATAAATTAAACTTACATCGTATTATGATAACTAAGTTTTCAATTTGTTGCGAATCATTAAAAAAATAAATACAAAGGTGCACAAAATTAAAAAATACAGTTCCGTCTAATTTTAAATTTGAATCCTCTTATTGAATATAATTTTTGCAGTCCTCGTTTTTATTTAAAATTATTTTTAAATAAAAAATTGAAAAAAAAGGATCAAATTGTTCAACGGACAAAACGGTTACTGTTGAAGTAATGTCAAGGCCTCTACAGGAAAAAATCACCAATCTCACTCATTTAAAAATAAACACTTTTATTTAATAATTATGGTCTAGGTAATTAATATTATACCTAGTATTATACCTTTTGTGGTGCATTCTGGATAATCATGATAGCTGTATTTATCATACTTATTAAGTTATTGTAGTTCATTAATTTACAAAAATCGAAAAGTTAAAGTAAGTACCTATATTGAGCGCTTTTTCAAATGATTTACTGTATTATATAATAGGGGAAAGGGTGAAATTTTATTTCAAAGTGACGACAAGTGTACCACTCGTCAAAACAATCGCTCACCGTATTTCAACCGTCCCCATCCAGTGACCACGGCCATGCGTCCCGTGAAGTCATCCTCGTCGTCCGGCATACAAATTGGCACGATGTGTTGGTCATAGCTGACAGGGGACTCGAGCTCCAGCAGGGCTATGTCGTTCTCGAAAGTCGCCGCGTCGTATTGCCGATGGACGATGACGCGTTTGACGTTTTTGCTGATGCTCCTCTTCGACTCGACCTCACCACTGATGTCGTACTCGCCAAAAACGGCCACCAGATTCGCCAAAAATCTGCGGACAACCGGAAAAGGCGAAAACTTATTATGGTGATGGTGAATCCGCTATCGTGCGCTCCGTTGCAATAATATAATAATAACTATACTACTTACACTGGGGTCTGATTATTTTATTATTAAGATTACATTATTCCATTTTGGAATGTCGGTCACGACCATAGAATATTTATTTACTGCCCAGTACAGTAGATTAGGAACTCTGAATATAACCGATATAAAATAATTGAAGTTCGTTTTGGGTTGGAAAAATGTCGATGGATATACCCGGGGATGGGCAGTATTTGAACTAAATGTAATTTTAAATACATTTTTTATTTTGTATTTTCTGATGTAAAAAAAATTAGTAGGTATTTGTATTTGAAATACATTTTTTTAAAGTAATTTGTATTTTGAAAATACTCAAAATCCAAAACTAATAATAACAGATAATACAATTCTCACGTTTGAATTTTGGCCCACTTACAAAATAATAACGAGCTTTTAGGTATACTAATATCCTTAAATAAAATATTTAAATATTCGGGTACACACCGATTCTTTTCACTTTTGCATCTGTCAATACAAATATGTTTATGAGCGCCAGCAGAGGTATCATATTCATTCACTTGAATGATTCAATTTTTAAATCGGGCTAGGATGACTGATAGAATGTTTAAAAACACATATTTTTAAACGAGAACAATGTTTTTTAAATTAGCGACTATATCATATTTAACTTTCAAAATTATAAGCTTATCACGATTAGGTAATATATATTACATAGATGCACAATCATTTTTTAAAACATATAATATACATTTATCATATCATATAGAATTTTTTTTTTAACGAAAATTTCCTAACAAACTTAAAATTTAAAAGGATTTTGTATTTTACAGTATTCTTCAAATACATGTTGTTTTTTGTATTTTTCTCTTAAATTCAATGTATTTTGTAATTTGTATTTTCAGTAGCAAATTGCTAAATATTTTAATTTCGAAGTACACAAAGTGATGTATATTGGCCATCTCTGGATAAACCTAACATATACCCTACGAGCTATTTAGTTAGGTAAAATACTAAAATATACCGAAATTCTGAACGTAAAAGTACGAGTATTATTTACGTATTTGTGTCAATTTTCTAACTGATGAAATGGTGAAACAAGTTTCATTCGATGACACACGTTCCTTAATTCTTATCTAGTGTAATGTAGAATTCTGACCGATCCGTTGTGACTCACGCCATTATAAAATGATTTCTAGTAACTACTATACCGTTTTACATAGAAAATAAAATATATCATTAATATATTTGATGAATACACATAGCTGACCTTTTTAGTTTGTTTATTCTGACTGGCTACCACGTAATAATTAATATACAATATTATGTAGACGATTTTTGGTACATAAACACGTTGACGCATTGCATATAACGGCTTTTTATCGATGTGATCTCATCATCGATGACATTATTGGTTATTCGCTACATTAAGACTCATATTTTGAGATACTTAATTTCTATATTTATTAATTTATTTTATTTTTCGTTTATACCGTTATTATAATGTGTTTCAAGAGCCACCCAACAAATTATTATCCTCTTGGGAATTTTTAACACACATTTTTTAGATCTAAAATCACACTAGAAGTAGGTGGTAACAATAAATGTCCAAACTTTGTCAACGGGCTTAAATTACATTTTTATATGAATTCGTTGTATCCCAAACACCAACAGCAGTTACCACAAGTTGCTACCTACAGGCTACAAGTTACTTTAAATTTATATTGATTAAAAGTCAAATGAGTATTTTTGGTTAATCATGCAGTATACATATACATCACCGAATACCAACACCAAATACAAAGGTGTTAAAATAAATTAAAATAAAACCAATAAATATACAGTTATGAATTTATGAATTTTGCTGACTCAAATATTGAAACTTGAATAATTTCTTAAAGACTGTGCTTAGATATATAATGCATAAGATTAATTTTGAATAAAATAACTAACTACTGTTTAAAAAATAACAATATGTAAGATCATTATGTGTGACCTAGGAGGTAGGTTATAAAAAAATATTAATCTACTTAGAAAATTATAGCTTAAATGATATTTTGTTAATATTAACTTTAAAACTTTCGGAGTTAAATATATTATTTGTTAACTGTTCATGCCGAGTAGTAGGGATAAAATCACGGTCGATACGGAAGTATTGTAAGAGTAAATCATTTAGCGTCCACCCATTGGCCATAGTTCTTAGGTCTGGTTCGATCGATTTCAATTTAGGTAGGTACAATACCCATTTTTACGATAAGACAATCGCGCGCGTCGTGCGCGACCTCTTTCCGCGAAGAGCCTCTCGGCACTGACCTAGTTCGCGTTAACTTTCAAAGCGAACTAGCGTATCTCAACACGCGACTGGAAAAAATAATTACGTTAACTAGTAAAAGTATGTTAGAACGTAAATTGTTCGACGTTACACTTTAAACAATTATAATAATAATAATAACGATGACGATGATGACGATGATGATAATGGTACCTAATGATGATTATAATAATTAAAATACGAGTAGTTCAATCAATTTTATCCATAATATTACACGGAAGCAGCACACAAAATAAGCAATAACAAGTGTAAAATAGTCGAATAAAAGATGAAGACTGAAAGTTGGCCAAAGCTAGAAGTTATAAATTCGATGAAGGTTAGAGCGTCGAACTGGACATTTTGAAAACTGTGTTGGTAATATTTTCACTTAAGTGCTACACATTTTTTGGAACGATATTAGAAGTCGATCAACCAAAGCTCACCCCACTCTCCCGGGCAACTCCTCGGACGTATTTAACAATAATTAAAATGGATCTTTGTCAAAGCGTGGTTTTCATATGATAAACACCTAATTAGTTCAGTTAGGCCAGTTACATCTTCTGGGACAATAACTAAATAAATCAAATTAATATTTGCTGTTGAAATTTGTACTTTTATGGGGAAAAAAACAATAACACGAAATTAAATTTGTATACTTGTTATACCGAAAATATTTACTATAATACCAGTGCATCAGATATCCGCATTCCGCTGTACCTGTTTCGATTTCTTTACATTAATTAAATTAAATATAATAGAGATCTAATACTAAAATTTGTTCAGGAGTGTCAATATTTTCATTCCCAAAACTTTTTGTAATTATGTGGTTCCAATACTAGGTTTCTCGCAAGTCTTGACTATATAGTTATTAGTTAATATTATACTGTATTATAATTCAACATAATATTATATAATATAATATTTACCCGGGTTGACAGTGGGCGGCAGTTATGACGTGTCGCTGAGTGATCAACACGCCACCACATTTATTCTTGGTGAAAAGCCCCAGCCATGTAGCTTCCCTCACCAACACTTGCCATGGCCATTCGCCGAATGTCGAACCCGTTCCACCGACGATCCGACCGCTTTTCCTCACCAAAGGCCGCACTCCGCACGCTAAAAGTGTGCACACAAAACAAAACAAATCACAGATTAATTGCGAAAATAGAGCGTTTTATAATACATTATGATATTATTTCATATTTGGTAACATGGTTATTACACGTTACGCGAAAGAAAACCTGTTGTTGAGCGTTGCCAAAACGATTATAATATTATATTATCCATCCGGTTTACCTATGTGTTGTGTTGTACTCTCCGGACCGTTACACATCGTCGCAGAATCGAAACCATTGAAATCGCTTTTATGCCCTAAACGCGTGATATTATTTAATTTCCTATGCGAAAAATTTAATATGTGAACTCTGATACTAGTTACACTGGCTATGCAGAAAGTAGGCGCTACCGAAGGATTTCTTAAAAAAATACCCTAGTATTAAAACCAAATTAGTATAAAATATGATGTAAAAATTAGTGTACCCAGTTAATAATTAGAATTATAGATCACCCTAAAAATGTATTATACATATTATATAACACATAATACCTATATCTCCTCAATAATATGTATGCTCATAAAATATATATAGGCGGTATATGTCATACATTTTGGAACTCTAAAGGCTAAAGTTTAAAAAGAGTTATTTTCAAATCACTTGAATGGGTGCACTCGGGTTGTGGCGTAACGATAATCATATTGTAATAAATTATTTTATTTTCGTGTGGCTCTGTGTAACGCATCTGTCGCTGTTATACACTACATAGTTACATATAATATAATAATATATACTATACAAGGTCGATTAATATTGTCTTATAAAATTGTATATTCATCCATATATGTCTTGTGAGTATGCCTACCTACGTCATTTCCGTGAAAACCTATATAGAGTGATGGATCTGATCTACTGAGCGACGATTTCGAAAACCAGTATGATAAAAATAACACATGACCGACCACCGAAGAATATTACCTACTCAAAAACCGATACATAATAATACTCGGTATATGATAAGTAAGAGCGTTATAGTAAACACGTCAACGCATTTATTACACACTTTAGAATATTTTAATAAATATTACCGTTAAGTTAACCGGACGGGAATTCGTAACAACTATACAGCAGTGTGTGCGGTATACGGTATGAAAGATTGTTATTAAAACATTATCGTCTTGATTACAGGGCCAAGACGGCTCCCCGAAAAATAATGTCTCGGCGGTAAACACACATTCTCGTCGTCTAAAGTATATTATAATATTATGTATTTATGCTATTTCATAATGTAGATAACTCCCGTTTTCGAGGGGGTGGAAGAATTATTAAAAAAAGCACTCTCCTTATCGCTTTTTGTACACGTCCGACGACTCTGTTTCTAATCGCAACGTAGGTAAATCACAAAGTATTATTAAACAAACCTATTATATCTGTGCATATGATCTTGTAACAAACTACATGCTACGATAGGATAATGTTATGATCAATGTGTCCAACAGACTATTTTTTTAACCAAAACTGGTACGCTTATCAAAATCCATGAGTATAACTACTAAATTAAATAATATCATCAGAAACCACAGGGAAAATCCAAAACTGTGTTAAAAAAAATATATACTTATTTCTTCCTACTCGTATCATAGTCTAGTATCGTTTTTATTTTAAAGTTTAACTATTTTGCTTCACTAGTGTCACTATACTCCTACACTAAACTTTACTACAAATGTATTCTTTGGTGTATGCTAACTAATCATTGCTTAGCCATAAATTCTGAATGAAAAGTTAATTATATTTCTATATTTTGCATATATTATATCTACATAGTTCAAGAAATATTTTTAAGTATTTTAATGTGATTTGTTACTGTATGACCTGAAAGTCATATGAAAATAAAAAGCCTTAGCCAGAAAACGATTTTTTCAGGGGGGTTATGGTTTAGAATATAAACATGTTTTTGACTAGCAAATTTTTAAATTTCAAATGTAATTTATTAATTTCAGGGGGAAGGGTTTGGACCTTAAACGCACGTGGCTACGGCATTATGAAAATACATAAAATGATGCTTAAATACACAAATAATTATAACTTTATGTTTAGAAATCAAAATATGTCTTAAGTAAATAAAAAAAAATAACAATTTAAACTGAAAATGTGATCTATTATGTGATGACGATTGTACGTACTTTTTCTGTAGTCCGGTTCAGCGGTGGTGTGATAGTCGTGGTCAACATTGAGCGTGTCCAGCACGACCGTCGTGGAAGGGGTATGCTTGACAGGCAGCTTGGTCGGCCGCTTGTTGTCCGTGGCGTACGTGGTGGGCTGGAACAGCTGAACCGGGGTGAGCAGAGTCGGGTACTTGGTAGGCCTGGATACAGTGGTCAACTCTAGGTACGGGGCGGAGTCTAGCAGTGAATTGACGATCGGCGTCGGCCGGTAAGTCGTGGTGGAAGTCCACTTGACGGGCTGCGGTGACGGTTTCGTCGGCTTGGCGGCAGCCGGTTTCGCCGGTTTCTTCGTAGGTGTAGCGGCCGTCGGCGCAGCGGTCGCGGGCTTCTTAGTCGGCCAGCCAGCTGGGTCGTCGTTACCGATGGTGATGTTGGACGACGACGGGTCGCCGGACAGTAGGACCTTTTCCAGGTCCTCGAAATTGCCCTGTAACGATTGGACAACCTTCTCGACGAACAGGTGGACCTTATCGTCCAGGTTGTCGTCGACCGTTAGCTGAGGGTTGGGTTCAGCGTCGGCATCGTAGTCGCCGGCTGAGTCGACGACGGTCACATCCGGTTTCTCCTGTTGCGAGGCTGCGGTCAGGTTGACGTTGGGGTCACGGACCGGCGGGAAAGCAAACGTGTCGGTGGAGTTGAATGGAACGGCGCCCACGTCATCGTCGGCAGTGGACCCGTGCACCGAGGTGACCGGATACGAGGACGACGACGTGTGGTGCTGCAAATGATGGTGCAGCTGCTGCTGGATGTGGTGCTGCTGTAGGTGGTGCACGTCGGAGGCGGTAATGAACACCTGCGTTGCAGGCGTCACTACGGGTGTCGGGTAATCGTCGTCGACGGTGGACGTCGGTCTATAGCCGCCACCTGACGACAGTACGGCCACCGCGCCACCGTCGTTCACCACCGGCTTTGCCGTCGAATGAGAGCCCGAGCCTCCATTACCCGCAGCTGACGGTTGGTACTTGTGGTATTGATGGTTCACCGACGTTATGACCGTGGTGAACACGTTGTTGTTGGTGCCGGCGTCGTGGTGCAATGAACTGCTGAGCGTCGGCGGTGGCCCGGTAGTTGTTGTGGTGGTGGTGGTCGTCGTCGACGACGGCCGGTGACCATAGTTGGTGGATACCAGCGGCTTGGCTGATGTGTGTATGCCGGTGGTCGGTTGGTAATTGGCGTTGTAATATTTGTCAGCCATCGTGGTCGAGCTGACCGGCACGAAAGCCGCGTCCTGCTGGTGCTGGTGTTGAGGATGATGATAGGTAGCCGTGGTTGTGTACGCGGCGCTCACCGACGGCTTGCCCGTCACGATGATGCTCTGCGACGGTTTGACGTGCGACGAGGGTGGTGGACGGTACGAGGCGGCCGTGTACACCGTAGACGAGGGCGTGGTGTACTTGTTGTTGGGATTTTTCGAATCGTTGGCTGGGCTAAGGACTATGACGGTGGGTGCGACCTGTTCGAGCGGCTTGGCCGTGGTCGTGGTGGACAGAACATGGAAGTGCGGTCCCGGCAGGTGGTGGCTGGATGTGGTAGTCGTGGTGGATGGTGTCGATCCGTAATAGCTGGTTGGCCAGTCGTAATGCTGCTGTGCCGGCGTCGATGAATAGATGGTGGACGAGGGCCTGGTGACCGGGAACGTAGACGCCCCGTAACCGGGTGACTTGGAATCGCCGTCGATCGAGCCCCACGTGTATAGAGCGGGCGGTAGAGAAGGTGGTGGGCTACTCGACTGCATATGGTGGTACGACGGTGAAGCGTCCATCGGGTCAACGTTATTCCTGTCCGGCGAGGGCGGAGTGTAGTTGAGTATGGACAGTATGTGGTGGATGGAGTTGTTTTCCTTGACGTTTGGGTCATTAACCGTCAGTGTGGGTATCAGCACCATGTTGTCGTAATAGTCGTCGGCGGCCGACGGGTGTTGGGGTTTGTGATGGTTGTGGTGCGCACCACCGTAACCCTGTTTGGACGTGGTCGCCTGGACAGTGGCCGCGGACGGCGTCGTCTTCCGGATGTTCGGCACCGAGTCCGTCGACTTGGACACCGGCGACGACGACGATGATGAATACGGTGGCGACTGCGATGTCTGCAGCTTGACAGTGGCCGTGTCACCGTAATCCACTTTGGACGTTATCTTGTTTCCGGCAAACGGCAGTGGTCGGTTTTGGTGATGATTGTACTGGTGGTAACCGCCGTCAGTGGTGTACTGCTGCACGACGTCCGTCATGTCGGACGCCTGCGGTAACCGGTCGCGGTGGGCCTGCATCATGGCCGTGAAGTTACCGAACAGGTCGTCCGGCCTATATGTGTTTTGCACCGCTGACCCGTTACGGTGCATCAGTATGGTGTCAGCCACCGGCTGTTGGAACGACAGCGGCGGCAGATCGTTGTGGTGCGGGCCGGGTGTCGCGGCGGTGGCGGCTGGGGCCGTCGACGCACTGTGCTCGATCGCGGCGGGCACTTTTACACCGGCCGGCAGCCGACAACATGCGCCGAACAGGAACACGTCCACGCAAGATCCGACTACCGAGCCTCCCAGTTGGGTGCATTCGTAGTTGAACATGCACACTCCTGTTCCGGTTCCAGTTCCGGTGGGGGTGGTGACGGATGCATCGTTCTTGTACGGATGAGTGTCGTCTTTGCACGCGCGGGGCACGATACGATATCCGCCAAATTTTCTGCTGCCAGCTGAAAAGAGATAAATCGAAGAGAACGTCAATATAATATAATAATGTAAATCTCAATAAAATATAATATAAAATACTCGCATGAACTGGATCACAAGCGTGTATGCATAATACTCAAAAAGATGCAAATTAAATGTTCAAAACCTTAGTTATTGCTGGCTGTTTAGAGGATCAAGATAGTTTTTTATTTCGAATTATAGAAAAATCAAATCAGTGGTGTATAAGTGTAAATAATTTATTTGTATTGAATGAGGTCAGTCAATGAAAAAAACCTAACCCATTTACAAAAACTACCATAAGATGTTTATAAGTCCCTCAAACAATTCATTTGCATATTCAAAAATATTTTAAGGTGAGATTCACGCACCTCAAATTCATCATATAGAGTATATCAAGTGAATATGCCTATTTGTACATAGTGGGTACGCTCATATTATAATATAGTTAGTAGTTATTATATAAATAAATTAGGTATAGATTATTGAGACTTGACAGCAACTACATATACTCTTAAATAATAATTATTAATAATAAAACATACTCATGCAGTAATTTCTATTTAATGCACTTGTGGAGAGGTATGTCAGCAAAATAAAATGATTGTACTGTCACTACGGTGGCAGTCTTTTATACTATCATGATAAATGATAATATTATGATATTACGATTAAAACTATTTCAGGTTAGTATCACTGGCTTAAGAGCATAGTAAGTTATTCGACATTAAGAGTACTCCACACCTCCATATGTGTTGTCTTCGTCATACAAATGTACAACATAGCAAATGTTTGTTCAGTAGAATCATTTTTTTGTCGTTACCTACTCGTTACCCCAAATATTAGAGTATACTGACTCACTATCATTTATCAATAAGCAACGTAAGGTAAGGAACATTATCTGTGTTTCTTATTTTTTTTTTAATGATATTTTAACTTTTAAGTGAGTTATAAGTAACTCTTATCAACAATTGAAATATCGACAACACATACGGGTGTATTCACTTAAAATCGTTATTTTTAATTTATAAATATTTCTAATAAAGTTTAAGAGTATTGAGTATTAATAACAATTTTATGTATATTTTTTCTAAACATCATTATTTTATTTTATTTGGAAAAAGGACACTGAAAGATCTGACATCCTCTCCCCCCCCCCCCCCCCCCCCCCCCCCACACACACACACTATGACTAAGTATGTACACAATATATGATGAGTTAAGACGTAAACTGTAGGCAGCTTATTATTATTCATTATAGAACAATATACTATATTATAGAATGTGCAGTAAGATTTTTAATTTCTAATGATTTTTACACGAGAATGACAGCCTTTTTATTTGTTTTTACACTTAGAACTTAAGTTCAAATTTGTGAAAGTTAAAAATCAAATCAAATAATGTACATATACATATTTTAAGACGTATGTTTTTACCATGACTATCGTAATTTGAAATGAAAATATATAAGATTAACATGATAAACTGTCTCTTTGCATAATCAATAATCATTACCTATACAAACATTGAAATATATTACATAGAATATTCAGTATTTAAATATGTATGTTTTCTACAGGTCGTATAAAACAAACAATAGATTTTTTTTAAAAATGGTACAGTTATTTATATATTATGTCATTTGTGTATCCACTTTGATGCAGTATATTAAGTTATAGTAAAATAGGAACATATTAAGTAGTTAAGTATTACATTGGTCAGTGTGATAGTGTCGGGAGCAAAGCAAAATATGTAAAGGATACTATAATCTGGTTTAGCCAGTTCAGTACCCAATAAGTAATAACAGATAGTCAATATTCGATACTTTTGCAATAATTATTATTGTGTGTAAGATATTGGAACAAAAAAAAACATAGAGCAAAGAAAACGTTGAAATTTAATCAAAATCGGCAAAAATTATATTTATTTTTATATATATGACACTGCGCACTCCACTGACTACGTAGTAGACATAATATATCAAACTTTGTACTTTGGTAGAAATCTGATGACTGAAGCGAAGAAGACGATGACTGTTCCTTGTTGTAGACGACGTTAAATGCCAAAGTGCTGGGTTGCAACATTACGGTCAGCCAACAGTACGACAGCAGCCGAAGAGCGGTCATGCGATCCTGGGACATGCTGAGGTATCATTCTGTAACAAATTTTCCAATCGTTTACAATAATACTCGAGTATCAGATATCATATGACTATTATGGTGTTTAGACATTAGTAACTCGGGTATTTTACACATCTGAAGACGTCTTAAGTGTGACAAATTAATATACGATTATACCTCTGTTTGCACGACAAAAGCTTACAATTGTTTCATACTTGTATCCTTACTATCTCCCGTTGTATCAATTTTAATTTATTTAACTTTCAATAAGACTTTAGACCTGCTAATTTGAAAACCATCTTAAATAGTTGCAAAGATAAATTTTAAAAACAATTTTCTGTATTACTGTCAGATATACTGTAATGTTATAAAAATAAAATCAATAGGTAATCAGTATAATAATAATTATTAAAAATAGGGTGCATATGGCGTGAAACGTAAGCTAAAATAATATATTGAGCATACATTGAGCGTCTATAAAAAGTTGGTCATCCCAGAATTTGAGAACCAAGGCGTTAAGTATAACCCGCAGGGATTATAAAATATATCATTAAAGATAATACAACGGTAATGTATGAATTTTAAGCATTCCTAGTCGTAGATGGTTTAGTTCATTTCTAATGTATTGTAGCTGCGTATATACATATAGATCCGCCGTAGACCGCAGCATAGGTATAGGTAAATACTTTTTAAATCGTCGAAAGTGTGTAGGTACATTGGGTGTGTTCAGTATCAGCAAACACGTATACATACTATATACCTTTAATAATAACATGTGTACACAGAGGTGCAGTTAAAGAACTTATAAATTTCCGGCTTTAATTGCAGTTAACGTTGATAGTTGGATATTGACGTATTGTCCATACAATAATGTGCAAAATAAATTGAGGCTACCTTTCGTGAAGCTCAAACAAAATAGCTCACGTGATTTCCAATTATCAGGAATGTATCACAGCTCAAACACGCACGATCTGTTAAAATTTCGATAATGATAAATACCTACATGGGAATCGGTTAACAACCTCGATAACCTTAAGTAACCTAACCTCAAAGACCGTCCTCTTTAACAGGGTCGGGTCATCACGGAGCCGGATCTGAGAAATTCGATGTCCGGTGTGGATAACAAAAGCTTTAATACATTTTAAACAAATAAGAAAAACCTACAAATTGTAATAAACATTCTATTTATTTATTGAACATAAAAACAGTATATTATTACAGTCATAAATCGTTAAAAAAATCAACAGAATCAAAATATTCTAACTTTTTAGTGTCCAAGATGTTACCGGTTTTTATTTAAGCTTATAATTATATTCGTACCTTGTCATATAATTTCATGTTATTTGAAATTGTTAATTTAAAAATCAAAAATAGCTACCAACCTTTGATATATTATAACTGCAGTATAAATACTATTTTGATGGTTCAAATAATTAGGTTGTTTTCAATGATAGAAAATAAGTTTTCAATCATTTCTAATTTTCTATTTTAGATTTTTGGCTTGAATTCAAATATATTTTTCCTCACTTTTGTTCTCTGATCACAGGAGGTACAACAAAATACAGCGTAGGTATTCGAAGTATTTGTTATTGCAAAAATTGAACTGTGTTAGTATTATTGGAGAAACTAGAGGGGATTTTTAAAGGGTCGGGATCAGATTCAATATTGTTCAAATTTAGCTTAGATATGTTAAATTTTAAAAAGTGATTTTCAATTTAATATATTATGTTAGTTTTAGGCTATTACCACCTCCTCCCCAAATATTAAACTTAATCGCGCTAATAAATAACCATTGGTTTCAGGCATCTCTAATATCCAATATTTGACAGAAGTAATTTGTTAAGTAATTTAAATGATGAATGTATATTATTGTTTTTGTTTTTTTCTTTCGTAATTAGTTCAGATATTTGTAATATTTTCAATTTTATTCTAGGTATTTTTCATTTCTCAATTTGACACCGAAGGATCCAACTATACCTCATCTCTTACCAATTTTTTCAGAGCATTGAATTTATGTATTCAATAAGTATACTATATAATGGATTTCTATTTGAAGCAGTTTTCTTCGATTGTCGTCGAGCTGGTTCGCATCGTGCGCGAATTATTAGCAACAGAAATGTAGGCGCTTGCATATTATGTAGTTGCGAGTTATCGTCACTCGTCATTAATACCGGGGTATTTATTATAACTACCGATTTTATTGCAGACGCGTAATGTTTTAACAACCCTAACTATTGTCACGGTCGTGTAGCGTAAAATCGAAAAGACGCAATCAGACCGTGTGACTAATCGCCATAATAAGAGGTCCTCCAAAACGCTCGTCTCAAACGACATTGTGTTGAGTACACGTCGATCGTTTACAATTATGTCCGTTATCCGGGATCCGATGGATTAGCACGTCAATCGGAATGTATACTTATAAAATAACATTGAAAATGCTCTAATAACAGTTGGGATGTACGGTGTTCGCAAAAAGAGATCTTCGCCTACGCATGCGACGACGGTTAGGTACGTGAGGCCGAGACCGCCTGGTTTCACAGTTTTTATTTTATTTTTTATGTTCTCGGAATAAGGTACATGGATAATATACAGACGAAAACCGACTATAGCGCGTGTAGTGGGATGATACAATTTCCTGGAGACAATTTTGAATTGAACAGAAAATCTATAACTATGTAATGATTATGACGTTTTGAGATGGAAAAAAATTTTTTTTCCGTTAAACTTGAGAGTAATAGATGTTTTTACGATTAGATATCCATATTAATTATCTTCATAATGATAATCGGAATATTATTATACGTTATGATTAAGCCCAAGAACAGTGTTGGAAAAAACGTGAATACTTTTTAGAATTGTTTCTTACGCCATTTGGTGGTGGCTGCAATGCTCGTTATATTAGTACATGTTCAATAACGATACTTGTTAAAAAAAATACTTTTGAAATATATTTCAAATTAAGTGTTTAAATAGTTGAATGACAATAAATTTAAATATATTTTCTAATAACTAATTAAAAACAAAATTAAATTTACAATGAATAATTTAAATATTATTATATACTAATTTGTCTATGAGAGCTCTTGAGAAACGAAATTTGTCAAGATCAGATTTTTAGTGTATACTACACGCACATTACTTATATGCTAATTAAATCTTTTTTTTTCCATTAAGTGGATATAAAGATATTGTATTTTGTGTTTTAAGAATGAAATCACAAAATAAGTGTTAAAAATGTAAATGCTTTACAACTATGCTATTAATTTAGGCATGTAATATGAAAACAAATCAATAAATAACGCTAATTAACAATTATGCGATTGAACTAAACTACAATAACTACAATAACTACTATACAACCTTTTTAAAGTAGTAAATCAGGAAGCGATCATCATTAATTATATTAAATCGGATACGATTCATGTATGATTATTAACACCGACTTCTTGCAAATTAGTCAATCATTAATCATTACTCATTAGTAAGTAAAGGTAAAAAATAAACAAAAATCATCATGTGGTTTAGAACATATCACTGGTATGTAAATTTCGCATACCAGGGGCTATGTTGTTTTACTATTACAGAAGAAACTGTTATAGGTATACGAGATCCACGAATAATGCAAATTTGAAAATTAATTTAATTTGCTTGACTTCCGCTGATTTGAAACATGACGCCGAAAATATAGGATATATAGGATAGATGTGTCGTATTTATATGGCTATCGGTACTTCTCTACGTCAAATTTATTCACAAATGAAATAATATAAGATGTTAAACATCAACTATAACCTGTCCTATTAATTGAATTTTTAAACTAGGGCACTATTAACACGATTTTGCAATTATTATTGAATAGATAATTACGTCTAAGATGTACTTTGTTAAGACACGAGTTTTTTTCTTATACTCGCCGAGTCTTCTGGAAAACATTGCCGATCTAGATAACACAATAAGAATTTATTCAAAGTCAACGTTCTTAATTATAGTTTAAGTTCCATACTTGTGTGTATCATTTATTCAAATCATTTTGGAATAAAACAATCAGATCCTATTGCATTATTTAGTTATTATTGCCATATAGCTGTAACTGTAACACGAGAAGTATAGAAACTGTGATTTATAGAATATACATTTTAATTTTGTATACATTTATATTTACCTAAAGTTATTAAAAATAAATATCGGCGGATAGGTCGAAGATCGATTAAAAGAATCAGACATCTTAAAAGCATCACATTACCAAAAACGATTAAACGAAAAATGTGTCCAATTCTAAATATTGTAATAATAGTTATAAAAAAAAAATACAATTGTTAAACCAATATATTTAATTGTATCAAAAATGTAGACTCTAGGCATCACAAACAATTCATACAAAAATTATAATTGAGTGAATTATTTTAAAAACGAAATTCCAAGAAATTTTCACCGACCTAAATAGTTGAATACTTTAGAAATTCTAAGATTATTTAGGACATTCAAGCCCTAATTTAAGTGTTGTTAAAATTCCCATTAATTTTCAAAATCATCAAAATATACAAAAAAATTAGAAATTTTAAGCAAAACCAGTTTTTGACAAAAACGATTTATTATTTATGTTGTAATTAAAAATATAATTACCTTACACTTGAAATTTTCGACAAATATTTATATTACCATTTTCTAGACATGACATTATTTTTAAAATATTTTAGTTAATTTTGGCTTTTTACAGACGTTTAAAATTAATTTTTTTTATAAATATTAATAAAAAATGTTATGTTGTGTATCAATAGCTCAATACTTATGTTGCATCATAATAAGTGTACTATTTTTCAGGTTTTTTGACAATAACCTATTCAAACCAACTTATAAGTTAATAACGATAATTAATAATATACCTAATATTTTATTTGTATAAAATTGTGTCCTATGTAATATTTTGGGCTGAAATTAGTTCAACTTGCAGTAATGTTAACATACAAACAAATTACTTATTTTAAAATAAATAAAAACTGTAACTACAAAATATCCTTCCAAATAGAGGTTGACA